AATGGCAAAAATGAGCTAATTGATTATATTACAACTCCAATCAGAAACTCAGAGGTAAGGACCAGACATACTATTTTATTAAAAAAGTTTTTACACACTTATTTTTGAGAGACAGAGAGACAGAACATGAGCGGGGAAGGGGCAGAAAGAGAGAGAGAGAGACACACAGAATCAGTAGCAGGCTCCAGGCTCTGAGCTGTCAGCACAGAGCCCAACGCGGGGCTCGAACTCACGAACCGTGAGATCATGACCCGAGCTGAAGTTGGACACTCAACCGACTGAGCCACCCAGGCACCTCAAAGCATACTATTTTAGAAAAAAAATCTGAAATTAAGAGTATTTGACCAGGGCCACAGGATGGCCTTGAGGTTCAGGAAACCCTTACAAGAGGATACAAAATTCTGTGTGCCTGTGCATTTTTCTCAAGGGAGGGGTCACTGCCTCCATCGTACTTTTAATGGTGTGTATAATCCGAAAGACTTAATAACCATTTTTAAAGCATCATTTCTACTTTATTGATTCTTACCAAGATTTATTTTTCAGGGTTTTGGGAGTCTCCAAAGTCGTGTGATTAACAATGACATCTGACAAGGCATCCAAATTTCACCACTTCCCCTCAATTTCGTGTCGGGGATGCCAATTCTAGACAATGTTAACTCTAGACATTTAAAACAATTTTTGTTGCCTCCTCCTGAATTATATCCACTTTACTAATTCAGTGCGCAGGGCTATTTTTTAAGGGTCAGTATTTCAAAAACCATTCCATTTCACTATCTACAACATAAAACTGTAGTTTCCTTTAAAGGTTTCCTCTTACCCTTTTATTCCTTAGCGAATAACGTGGAAATGATATGAGGTACTAAGATTATATGTGGCATTAATGCAAAGCAAAAATGCTGCCTAAAGCACGTTTTATATAACTGCAAATAAAAATGCTAAAAAAAACACCTGCTGCATCTTGTATTTTAATCTCCTCTACCTTAAGCAGGAGTCCTCATTATACTCCTGAGCCTCCAACTGGATGACACGGCTGTACTCCCCAGTGGATTTCACTACCTTTCCTTCCAGTGAAATGGCCTCCTGGATGAGGGGCTCCTACACGATGTCACCTTGGAAGGGGGAGGACAGGCACGAGGGGAACGTCTCAGATGACTGGTTTCAAGTTCAAATTCTTTATAGACGGCCTGAAACTGTGGTCAGCTTTCCGCTGTAAGCAACACACAAGGTTTACTTTCTTTCCTAACTTTAACGCTGCCAGAATACACATGTACTTTTACTTTCTTAGGAGAAAATGTGTCATTTGATTTCCTTCCAGTTTATGTACTCGTGCCAACAACTAAAATGCTTAAAGAACCAAAATGAATTACTACCCAGAAACGGTGGTCAAAGTTCCAAAATTCGATCAATAAAATTGCTCATCTACTCACAAATTAATCTTCAGCCAGTAAAGTCACACGTTTTCGAGGTTATGAGCACACCTGCATCATTAAGCGTTTACTTCATTTGTTCAAGCAATCTTCAGAAGCATGTAAATATTTATAAAAGCAAGCCTACTATTTTTACCCACATACAATTTTCTTTTTCTGTAGCAAACCCTTGTTAAGTCTTTGACAACTCCTAAGCATCCTGAGGGCAGGGTCTGTACCCTTGACGGTTTCGTGTGGATATAAGCATCGGCAGGGTGCCCTACGCGTGGAGGCTGATCCAGAAATGCTCACCAAATCACATCTAATAAATCCAGATCATCCTCATCCTGAATTTACCACGGGGCCAATTTTCAATTTTCATTTGTGTCATGCATTAAAAAAAAAGAAAAATTGCAAGGCAGCTCAAGAGGCTAGGCTGACCAAGGGGCTATTTAGGTTACCAAGTAGAGTGTTTTTTAAGAACATCAAAAGCAGAATCTATACCAATTAATGCCTTGATTATATAAACCACACGTCGCCCAAGAATGTGGCCAGCTCAGATTTAGTTCTGTACGTGTAGCTGGAGACAGCGTCTTCCTGAAATTAGTCCAAATTGCTGATGTTTGACTACATTTTGTGATCTCTATCGAGTAACCACTTAGAGCCTCCTCTAACTTTCCATTCTCTTTTGTTTGTTATCATCAGCCTGGGAAACTAGAGAGCACTGCCAAACATAAAGCAGAGAAGTGTGAGATATGCCTAAAATATAAGTCACAGTATATTTGGGGATTTGGGTTTCTTTTTTTTTTTTCTTTCCCCTCAAGCAATCAGTAGATCAAATTCTTCTCCCCTGTCAAGGCTTCCTCTATGCGGAAGATCTGAAATTTGCGAAAATAGGGCTCTCAGCGTGGTTACGAAGGGTACGAACAACAGAAATGAACCCTGTTAAGATTTGTGATGGGATTTCCCTTTCATTTCAGAGACACACTGGCTGGGGTGCCCCAGCGAGGGCATGGCATGGCAAGGTATCTCTCTGAAGGTTATTCCTTCCGTGAATCACCGAGTCTATATACGTATTTTTATATGGAGGTAATATACCATGTGACCTAGGTTAGTAATTTCTCCTTTCTGTTTGTAGAAGGTCAGCCAACCTAATAAAGCCTGGTGGATTTGCATGACCCTACCAGGCAGCTGACAAGACGTAGTCTATGATGCACGCGCACGCACACACACACTCACACGCGCGCACAGTCAACCCACTGTTTTTTCTCCCAATCAACTCTTAAAGCTGGTCTAAATTCTATGCTTGTCAACTCTCCCACAGAGGGGTAGGAAGGGACTCAAAACATCTTATTTAGCAAAACCAGCATTCAAGATGGCCCCCTCGCCCCACACTTTTTATACAGACTGAAGTGCTCAGCAGAATGTGTTAGGTTGGTTTTGACACTGTCTTTGCCAAGAAAAATGAAGCTCTCTGTATCATACTCTTCTGGTGGCTGAAAACCTTATAACGGGCAAGAAAAAGAGCCCTCAAAAGGAAATCCCCTGAAACTTTACTTCATATATTTAGCCCTAAAGCAACTTCGTTCATCTTGGAAAAGAAGTTACCTAAAAATGCCATATGTCTTTAAAAAGCAAGTATGAGGGAATATAAGTCTAGTATAAAAAAAATTACAAATGATCTTCAATCCTGAAGAGCAGTGCATCAGGCAGACTGTGTATGTGTGTACTTTTTAAAATTATCCCTAACCAAAGCTCTACTACGTACAAGATTCCCACCTCCCCGCAATAATATATTGTCATTTTTCCAATGCACTTGAGGTCTGATAAATTCAAGAGGACTAACAGTATTTTTAAGGCTGTTAGAGCTCCAAGAGGGAGGCCAAAAGAATGGACAGTCATTTGAATCACTGAGTGACAGGCTGGGCCAGCTCCCTGTATACATTAATAAATTAGAATTTTAATTGTGTCTCCGTCTGCAGGAGATGCCCCAGCACTTTAATATGTACCAACAATTGGCTATGTTCTGGAATCTGCAATGTGGCCTCCGCAGCTGACCTCTGAAACACAATTCCCAGTCTGACTACGGAAACTGTTCAGTTTGATCCTTTCAACTTATTTGAATCCTGACAAATAAGCTCACAGCTGAAAGGTCAACACAGTCATATTTCATCCTCCAGAGCTGTTCTTAAGACATCTGCACAACAAAGCACTTCTTACAGCACCTGACATGGAACCTCAACGGCACTGCACCTCATTAAAAATATCCCCGGCATTCACACACGCGGAAAGGCCTATGGATCAGCGATGATGGTTTACCAAATCACTAACTGTTTTTGAAAGTGTTAGTCAACAGTGCACATTGCCATCCAACTGTTCCCCATAAAGTGCTACTCTATGTGCTCTAGGCAGTGACGCTTTCCCAAGTAGATGTAGAGGCAGGGCTTGTTCCCCAATGTCGGTCAGATCTTTGCAGGATCATTGGGGAAGTGTGGTCACTTCGTTCTGACCTGAGAGAAGTCAACACAAGCTAGGATTTGGGTTGACCCCATGATCAATGTCGCTGGGGCCAAATTCCACCCAGCAGCTACCATTTACAAATTCCGTCCCAAAATGTCCAGGGTGAGAAGTTCCTTTTACTTCCCGTTTCGAGCACGTCCCACTCCCAGCTGTACGAGTAGCTGAACCACAGAGAACCTGGCAGTGCCCTGTCTTGGATGTGAGCATGAACACCCTCTGTCGAATTTTTTGGAAATATCTGTCACAGTTTCCAGCTCCAAGTCGAAAATTCGAAGCAGATTTTTATGAGCCCGCTCCTACCCTGAACTACGGCTCTGCCCTCAATGGGCCTGAAACGAGAAGTTGCTAAACCAGTCTTTTTTGAAATCTTTACACACAAATTGCTTGCCAGTTTTTATGAACGATCCAGAAAACATCCACTAAAGAACAGTGTGCATTATACTGGTTACCAGGTATATTAAAAGTGCCGTATCTTCATCAGTCCTACTAACAGGTGCTTGACCCCATGACATTTTGGGACAAACGATTCTGTGCTGTGGGCGATCTTTCCTTGGAGTACAGGACCAGTTAAGTAGCATCCCTGGCCTCTACCTACTCGAGGTCAGGAGCACCAATGCCCCCATGGGACAATAAAAAAAACTGTCTCCAGACATTGCCCTTCGTCCCCCTGGTGGGTAAAATCACACCCAGTTAAAAACCACTGCGCTAACATTACACGTATGTGTGCTGCATTTCTACCCCCATCATGAGACAATGAGGTGACCTACCTCGAGTACTAGGAACTGCTCCTTGGTGCTACCTGCTGCCTATTAAGCAACCCACATTTGTAACTACTCATCCTCTTACTACATCATCTCATTAGGAGCCGCTCCTCCCAGCAACTGCGCTTTTGGTTAAGTTGACATTTCTTCCGAAATGTCATACTCTGCTGGTAAACTAAGAATGCACCTTCTGCACAAGACTTTCGTACGTGATTTGCAACTCCCAACACAATCCGCTCCTGAATTGTTTGTCAGCTCTCCCAAAGTGTATCGTGTCATTTTTTTTTTTTTTTTTTTTTTAAAGAATTGTCACCTGAAGGGCTGGTTGTTTGTCATTCCTCTTGGGAGATTTTAATCCACTAACTTGCTGCTGCTGTTGCTGCTGAAGGAGAAGCTGTCTTGCCACTTGAAGTGCCTGGAAGGAAAAATGGAAGAAACACGTTTGTGTTGAGTACCCACCCATGTTCGGGGCTTCTTTTACATACAGGAGGACTCCGGGAAGTACACTTTAGGGTGGGATCCTGACCTTCACGATCCTGGGCAAATGCCACAGCAAAGAAAACTTACCATCAGTCTAAGTTAGAAAACTTTCCACATTTGTTTACATTTTCTTAGATTTAGTCCATTTCGCGGACCGTTCCTTAGGCATAGCAATCCACCCAAACAGACACTATTCCTACATTAAATCTGACATAAAACTTGAACAATGAATAAATGGGACTCTGAGGAAGGGAGGCAGGAGGCCAAGAAAGGGCCGGGCAAAAGACAGAAACCTAGGGGACAACAACGGGCTCTTTTCGGAGACAACTTTATCCTCCAATTCTTCTTGGGGGAACTTAGGAACTTAAATCAACAGTAAGACTTTGGTCGTTTCTGAGCCCAAATAAAGAGGAAAAGGTAAATGGTGAACCACGCTATGGATAAAGGTATTTGGAGAAGGGAGATCAAAGCAGGTAAGATATACCCAGGGTAACCTGGAAAGATCATATAAGAAAAAAAACTTAGCAAATTTGACCTCTAAGTCAACTCAAAGGGTACAGTATGTACCTGTGAACAAAACTGATTTTGTCTAATACAAAATGACTCTTTTAAGCTTGTAACATGGGTCGTATTTATTTATTTGAGAGAGAGAGAGAGAGAGAGGAGAGAGGGAGAGGAAGGGAGGGAGAGAGAGAAAGGAAAGAAAGAAAATAGGAGAGTCCTCCCAAGTGCAGAATATAGACTGACCAATCTTTTTGAAAAGTTCAAATGAGAAAAGTGTCATCAATAAACCCTCCTGAGGACATTTACTGTCAAAGAATTTAACAGAAATAATAGTTAGCCACACGGTTCCACAAAGGGCAGTAGGATCAGCAACAGAAGATTGAAGTTTCCAGACACCGTGCTAGAAAAGTTAGATTACTGGAGTCAATTTGGCTGTGAACCAAAACCGTTCGTGTGCAAGATATGTCAAGAATGTTCATTAATGATGTGCTTAGAGTTTAGAGACAAAATGGGATTTCTTGGGGATTACATACATAAACATTTCTATATAGGCACTAATTATTTGTGTCTAAATGTGTACACATAGATGTGGTCAATGTTATCAAATGGATCTGATACTCTAAGTCTTAGAAGGTGTGCATTATGGACTTATGGTGGTAGCGTGTTCCTCAAAGAGAAACCGAGACTTCCTTTACATAAGAAAATAATGTATAGGGGCGCCTCGGTGGCTCAGGTGGTTAAGCGTCCAACTTCGACTCGGATCACGATCTCGCTTTTGTGAGTTCGAGCCCTGCGTCTGGTTCTGTGCCCACAGCTTGGAGCCTGCTTCGGATTCTGTCTCTCTGTCTCTCTTTCTGCCTCTATCCTGCTCTCTCTCTCTCTCACACACAAATAAACATTTAAAAAAAAAAAAAGAAAACAATGGATATAATTGCAAGAAATGTGACCGTGAGGCCGTGAGTGGGGGAAGGGTAAGATACCATGGAGATCCCTGTGTACTGAACTCAGGGGAAAGGAAAAACAGAGTGGAGAAGAGGATTATCGTTCAGGGTTAAAAACGCTGAATCGGCAAGAATAGTACTTCTCAAAGGACAACTTCACTGAACTGAGCTCATGACTGTACTACTAAAACAAAGAGTATTTTCAGGACATTTTGTAAGGCCGAGCGGTGCCTTTGGGTCTAAACGGCGCAAAGGGAGGCAATGAGACAGACGCACCGATAAATGGGTGACCAAGAGAAGATTTGGGGAAAGACGCAACCTTCCTGTCCCACCTCCCCGCTATCCCCACCCCCTTGTCCCAGGGAGGCCTCCTGCCTACCGAAGGCACCATCACCACCAGCCCCTTCAGATGTAAGGTACGGGCTGCTGCGTCTGTGAAGGGAGAGACATGTTCAAGAAAGCCTGCCTGGAAGAGCCTCCAGAAGAGAGGCTGTCTGAGAGGGGCATCTGGAAGCCAAGACGCCTGGGAGAGTTGCCCGAGACTCCAGCCTGCTGTCTCTGAGGAGGATTCACCATCACTGGACTCCGGGTTTCCTGGTCTCCTTGGAGACGCTCAGTACATGCGTAGGTGTAAAAGTGGGCAGAGTGAGGATTTCATTTATATCATATAAGAAAAATAGTCCCCTTCGCAAGGTGCCTGCAGGAGCAAAAGCCTCTCCTCCTACTACGTGTGTTCCCTTAACTATTTCACATGAGGGTTTTACAGCTTTTTAAGGTGGGAGAGAGAACCGCTCCGTATTTTAAGTACTCCCTTCAGAGTTCCCAGAGTAATAATGAACGAACGGATCAGCAAAGAAGGGTCTAGCTGCTAGCCGGAAAGGCAGATAGAGGAACCGCAGATGACAGTGAAGAGTGCAGAGGAAGGCAGGTTGGGAAAGAGTAAAAAGGTTAGGAACACTGGATACTAAAACAGAGCAAGCAAACAAAGGCAGAGTGACAGAAACCCCACAGTCACAAATGCGTGTTACAATCATTTACCATGTTTTGCGGAATATCTGGAGAACAGGAGTTCAATTTTTAAAAACGCTAATTTGTTTTTGATAAGAGAGGGGGTTGGGGCGCCTGGGTGGCGCAGTCGGTTAAGCGTCCGACTTCAGCCAGGTCACGATCTCGCGGTCCGGGAGTTCGAGCCCCGCGTCGGGCTCTGGGCTGATGGCTCAGAGCCTGGAGCCTGCTTCCGATTCTGTGTCTCCCTCTCTCTCTGCCCCTCCCCCGTTCATGCTCTGTCTCTCTCTGTCCCAAAAATAGAAAATAAAAAAAAAAAAAAAAAAAACGAAGAAAAGAGAGGGGGGCGGGGCAGAGAGAAAGAGGGAGAAAGGCAATCTCAAGCAGGCTCTGCACTATGAGTGCAGAACTCAACTCGGGGCTTGAACGCATGAACCGGAAGATCATGACCTGAGGTGAAACCCAGAACCGGACGCTTAACTAACTGAGCCACCCAGGTGCCCCAGGTATTCAATGTTTAAAGAAACAAATCTCGGGGCGCCTGGGTGGCTCAGTCGGTTAAGCGGCCGACTTCGGCTCAGGTCATGATCTTGCAATTTGTGAGTTTGAGCCCCGTGTCGGGCTCTGTGCTGACAGCTCAGAGCCTGGAGCCTGCTTCGGATTCTGTGTCTCCCTCTCTCTGACCCTCCCCCGTTCATGCTCTGTCTCTCTCTGTCTCAAAAATAAATAAACGTTAAAAAAAATTAAAAAAAAAAAAAGAAACAAATCTCAAAATAAATAAATAAATAAACAAACAAATAAAAGAAATGAAAAAAAACACATCTCTGAGAATCTGTACAGTTAACTCCTCCTTTTGGTAAAATAGATGATATTTAGTGCTTTTTTTTTTAAACATTACACACACACATACCACACCTCACCAATCTATTTTTTTTTCTTTTTTAAAAATTTTTAACATTCATTTATGAGAGACAGAGAGCACAAGCAGGGTAGGGGCAGAGAGAGAGAGGGAGACACAAAATTGAAGCAGGCTCCAGGCTGTCAGCGCAGAGCCCGACGCGGGGCTCGAACTCACAAATCGTGAGATCATGACCTGAGCCTAAGTCGGACGCTTAACCGACTGAGCCACCCAGGCGCCCCTCACAAAACCATTCTTATGTTTTCATTGGAACACTGCACTGTTTAAGAACAAGACAGTATAGGACTCAAACCTAAGTGTTTAATGAATGTTTATTGAGCTGGCTCTGTGCATTTCAAAATTAGCTAGTGAAATCCTGACAATTATTTCGCTGGTTTTAAGAAAAAAAAAAAATCATTCAGGTGTGTACCATCTTATTTTACACCCGATGTGGAGCACATAAATTTAAACAGTCACGTAATGAACTCCAGCTCCCTTACAGCATTTCATACTGAGCCTTGTTGGAGAAGATAATCAAAGACAGCAGCACAGGGTAGAAAAGGCTTAGGAACTTGTAGGAACACAAGGGATATTTTAGTCAAACTACCGAAGAGAGAAGAATAAAGATGCAGATACGTGCAAATTGGTTTTCCAAATTTTATTCTCAAAATGAATGCAAACAGGCAAAATAATTTCAAATATGTGGGATGGAGGGGCAACATTAGTGTAAATTATTCACCTTGATCTGAACTGTTGTGAACTGCTTCACAATAATTCCCCAGCCTCATCACGATTACGGGAACAAAGCTGGAACAAAGTATTAAATCTATCCTCCCCCACCCCCAAATCAACTGAGGTCTTGCCAAGTGTTGTTTTTGTTTTTGTTTTTTTTTTAAGCTTATTTATTTATTTTGGGAGAGAGAGAAAGTGTGAGTGGGGTGGGGACAGAGATAAAGGGAGAGAGAGAATCCCAAGCAGACTCCATGTAAGTGCAGAAGCAGACATGGGGTCCCATCTCACGAACCTCTGATATCACGACCTGAGCTGAAATCAAGACTCGGACGCTTAACTGACTGAGCCACCCAGGCGCCCCTCACCAGGCATTTTAAAACATAATTTATTAGAACTTAAAGTGCTGTGAAATCAAGCATCCAAGGGCACTTGTTTTTCCGATTTCTATTGTGTATAAATCACTGTAACCTAGATTTTAAGTTGTCATAAAAAAAGAGGAATAAGTCCTTAGTGTACAAGAGTGCACATGTGAGAATTATCATCATAATATGAATCGTATTACATGATTTATAATATGAATCGCTGGTATCTACCACTTGCAGACAGTAAAAAATGTTTATTGTCATGTTCACTGGTGGTCAGTGGAAAATATGGAATGACTGATGGGATCCCCTTTGGAACATGCACCAGAAACCTACTGATTTCTCATACGCGCTTATTACTTGGTAGCCATTTTTACCTGTTACCTGCATCAAAATGAAATTAATGTCTTTCATCTCGGACTCCACTGCCTGAACCTCAGAGATTTCTTCCAACGCAACTGAGGAGTGAGGATGGAGTTTTCTTATTTGTATA